TGACGCCATGGACCAGAGCACGCCAGGCCCTCCTGTCTTCCACTGCCTCCCGGAGCTGGGCCAAATTCATGTTGGTCGCTTCAATGACACTGTCCAACCATCTCATCCTCTGTCGTCCCCTTCTCCTCTTGCCCTCACACTTTTCTAACATCAGGGGCTTTTCCAGGGAGTCTTCTCTTCTCATGAGATGGCCAAAGTATTGGAGCCTCAGCTTCAGGATCTGTCCTTCCAGTGAGCACTCAGGGTTGATTTCCTTCAAATGGATAGGTTTGTTCTCCTTGCAGTCCAGGGGACTCTCAAGAGTCTCCTCCAGCACCACAATTCAAAAGCATCAATTCTTCGGCGGTTAGCCTTCTTTATGGTCCAGCTCTCACTTCCGTACATCACTACAGGAAAAACCATAGCTTTGACTATTCGGACTTTTGTTGGCAAGGTGATGTCTCTGTTTTTTAAGATGCTGTTGAGGTTTGTCATCGCTTTCCTCCGAAGAAGAAGGTGTCTTTTAATTTCGGGGCTGCTGTCACCATCTGCAGTGATCATGGAGCCCAAGAAAGTAAAATCTGTCACTACCTATCTATCTATATCTATATCTATATCTCTATATCTATATCTGTCTATCTATATATCTATATCTATATCTTTTAAAGTATATATAATATATATGTTGTGCTGAAAACCAGAGTAATGTAACAGAGTGTTGAAGTAGATCAGGACTCAAATTCCTATTCAGTCACAGAGATTTGCTGGGAAGTGGAATAAATAAAACCACTCCTTAAAGATGTCACATACCTTGGATGCCCTTGTTAGGATCACCATAAGTCAGACACAGTTAACATATACAGATCAGTATCCTGGCAATGTAACAAAGTTATGTTCATGTAAATGTCGTGGAAGTTGTCTTCAGGAACAGGGAATTGCCCTCTGCAGTTGTGTAATCAGTTGCATAACTACAGCATACCCAATTGTGCAATGTGCTGGAAGAAGTGCTCTGGGGATAGCTCTTCCATGTCAGCACCTTTACAATTTTCAGGTCTACAACATTGTATGTAGTTGCACAATAGGATCTTGGCTATAGTATAGTATAGTATAGTATAGTATAGTATAGTATAGTATAGTATAGTATAGTATAGTATAGTATAGTATAGTATAGTATAGTATAGTATAGTATAGTATAGTATAGTATAGTATAGTATAGTATAGTATAGTATAGTATAGTATAGTATAGTATAGTATAGTATAGTATAGTATAGTATAGTATAGTATAGTATAGTATAGTATAAAGAAGAGAGAGAGAGAGAGAGAGAGAGAGAAGTATTTGGGGGGGGGGGTTATAAGAAAAAGACAAAAAATTGAATTCCTGACAGGGTTTTTCTTTTATGCATAAAGTTATTCCAGTAACATCCTTATTTGTGTTTATACTTTTTTCTGTTAGTTCAATAACTTAAATTCTTATTTTATCGTGCATGTATAGTCTAAGTGGTGAATTTACAAACATCTGCTGTATTGTGAAACAAAAGTTTATCTGTTACAGAGTAGACTATGTCTAGGTGGGCGGCATATAAATGCAATAAATAAATAAAATACATAAAAATTTGTTGCAGGGAATCCAAACATTTATTTTATGTTGAGCATCTGTCTTTGTTTCTGTAGCTTTCCATAAACAATATTTTTACCACTGTGTTTAAAATCCAACTAGCATGTATGTTTCAGTATTTATTATTATAATACAGGTGTTCTCTTTGTCCACTCCAAGAATATTTTACAGCCAGTCAGACACAGTTAACATATACAGATCAGAATATTTTACAGCTATAAAATATGCATCATGTTAGGATGAAATGTATAGAATTGTGGTTGAGTGGGTGGAAATGGAAATGTAATGGATCTATGGAATTCTTGAAGATATATTCCCAACTAAGTTTATCATTATGTGATCATCAAATCATTGCCTTATTTCCTGTCATAGTGTGTGTGGGGGGGACCCATCCTGCTGCTTGGCTATTTGAAAAACTTTCAAATATTTCTGACATTTGCAGTTTGTTTATGGTAAATTGTTTGAAGAAATTCCAAGATTTTTTTGTTTGTTTTTATAAAATAGCACATGTTTTATGTTTCTAGTCATTTGTTTTCTCCGTCATTGAAACATAGCTTGTTTTCCTTTAAAAAAAGCAGACGAGTGGAATAATAATGACACGATTAGGCAAACAACCTTGGTTGCCTTTATCTGTGCAAGGAAGTGTGTAGTACAATAGGTTATCCATTGGCAGGTTTGATAAATGAGAACCATGGAGAGATAAGGGAAAGTAAAGTGGTTCAGATTATGTGGATTTTGAACTGCATGTTAAGTTATAATACACGGCTCTCTGGAAGGGTTTTTAATTCCATTGACATTATAAAGAATATTCATTGGTTAAAATGATCTATGCGTATCACCTATTTAATTCTTTTTTATTATATATTGCTATTCTCCCCTTGAAACTGTACCTCCTGAAGACAGTGATTTAACTTTTTGTTACTAAGGTAGCTTATTGATTAATTGGTTAGAATTACTGTATTTGGTAACACATTTAAGATATGTTTAATAGAAATTACTGTGCATATGCACATATAAACATCTATGCATAAAGTCTCTCTCTTATGTAATAACTTTTCATTATAGCGAAATGGATTTGAACATAGCTTATTTGCTTATTCTGTTTTAGATCTTGCAGCACTGGTTAATTTTGTGCTTATTGAGGAAGGGATGAAGGCACCTTTCCTGTATGGGATATAAGCAGCCCTGGTGGGGATTTTTAATTATATAATGATGTAAGAGTTAATAATTATGAACACCCCTCCTGCTTATCTCTGCCTTCCAATAGCCACCTCAGTGACTTTTTTTAATAAGGTAAAGAAATCTGTATACGCATTTTTAGCTTCTCAGCTAAAAACCTGTCTTGTTGGACAGGTATCACTGTATATTCAGCTACGTGTGTATATAAAGCCTTTCCAGATATCATAGGATGGCTTAATGCTGCTAATGTTATGCTTTCTTTGACAGGCCCTCCTTCACATGGAAGATATCAAAGTACGGGAGATGCAGATCTTTGATTACAAAAAGAAGATAGCAGAGTCTGAAATAAAATTAAAACAACAGCAGAATCTCTATGAAGCTGTGAGATCTGACAGAAACCTCTACAGTAAAAACTTGATTGAAGCCCAGGTACCAAAAAGCAGTTCTGTTCTTAGGTTTATTTCTCTGTTTTGCTTGAACTAGAAGCTCTCATGTAACACCTGGGATGGAAAGATAAAGAAGGCCAATGCTAACATGATGTTCCAGGGTCTTTTTGTTCCCTGCTGGAATGACCTACACCACAAGTATTGACTTGGATAATTATGGAAACAGAATCTAGATACTTTCAGTGAAAAATCTGTTCATGCATGTAAGAATGTCAAGGGAGAGTTTCTTCAGGTGAATAGGCATCAGAGAGAGGTTATTCAAGTTACAGATCTCACCTGTTTGGAGATTACAGAAGATCTTGTGCTAGATGTCGAAGATTACTTAAGAGTTTTATACCAGCAGATTGAAGGAGATCATTTCCCATGATGCTCTTATTCAATAGCATTGCAGATGCTATTGTAGATGCAGATGGTTTCAATGGGCTGATTAACTTTATTTAGAGCTACTTGAAATTTGTTGCCTTGAAAATAATGTACGTGCCTGGTTCAAGTGGATAATTTAAAAAACTGTGTATAGACTAAAAATAGAAATATTGAACAGATACTAAATAATGTGAACATTGTGATATAAAGAGAACAAAATTCATACCTTACAACAGAGTTGAAAATATTTTCTGTGGTAAAGTTGGAACATTCACGTTAGCTGCACAGAAAGGTGGACTCTAAGAACAAATCTAAATTCCACTGTGAGATTTCTAGCAGAGAACTAAACCTAGGTAGGAATGAAATCCTTGCTTCTTAGAGAGTGGAGTGATTATTGTGGCATTTGGTAAGATGTGAACCTATTCCAAAACAATGGGGGAACCAGTTATTATCATTCTTGATGTTAAATACTAGTACCTTGCGTTTTGGAGACATGTTGGAAATATAGTTCCATGGACTATATGCAGCAGTTTACTTGTCCTGCGCTATGGCTAACACTGTGAAATCTCTGAATGTTAAATGCAAATCTTGTTGGGGAATATGAAGATTAACTTCTGCACTTATTGATTTATTTTGTAACAGATTATTTTGTTTACCATGTGAATTACAGAATCAGTATGAGAAGACATCTAGGATTAAAACAGAAGTGGACAAACTATGGTTATATGCACTAGGCCATTGTTTGTCCACCTGTTGGAAAGACTAGGCCATATGCACCCTGGTACAGCCCTAATGTGCTTCCTCCCCCCAAGTTTTAAAATTAAAATAGATTGATTTTCTTCCAGAAGACCCCTTGTGACCTTTAGGGGTATGGGAGATAATATTGCCATTTTGCACACCAGCCTCATCTCTTTGAATGACTAGCCCCCCGCCCCCTCCATTTAAAAAGTTAAAAGAATTAAATAGTTCTCTGCTGCAACTAGAATGTGAGAGGAGGCCTTTTCAGTAAACATTTGTGAAGAAGAATATTTGGAGAAGTGAGGGGTACAGGTGTGGCTCTCCAAGATTTCAAGGGTAGACCTGAACCTCTGAAAGCAGCCTATTCATGGGTTTAAAGTATCCTTTTATTATACACAAGCTGCAAAATAGGCATTCATAGTTCAGTAATGAGCCAGCCAGCTGTGAAAACTTGAATTGTTTAAACTAATTGTTTAAAAACCAAGCAGGACTGCTATCCCTCTTGGGATTAGTTAAATTGGCACAAGCTGGTTTGAGAGAACAAAGCTCTTGGTATGCATTTTGAGATTATTTAATAAGAAAAGGTCCCTCACTGTCCAGCCCTTTATACTGTATACTGTTTCTGATCTCCAGGATGTTATAAGCTCAGGTAGAGTAAAATCTTTTGATACAGGAGTGCTTGGTTGAATTTCAGTATTTGCTGAGATGATTTTACATTTTTAAATCTTTATGGTCTCAGGAAGTGTTGCTTGTTAATTTAAATGAGTATAACGTCAACCTCTGCAAAATTCATAGGGACTTTCCACCCATTATTAAAGTAGTATTTTGGCATAGGCACATACTAGCTTTTAGAAAAGTTAACTTTATAAATGCATTTTAGAAAAGCTAACTTTATAAATGCATTTATAAACCCTATACTTGAGTTTCTACTTTTCTGTTCACATGACTAATGGTCTATATGTCAATATGAGATGCTTTAGGGCCTAATCACACTTGCCAAAATAACCCCAGTTATACCGATTCTTTCTATACTGTACCTCTGTTGTGCCAACACATTTTTTTTACATTACATGGTATATATACTGGCAGGAATGTTCCCATTGGTTTTAATGAAATTTATTCCTATTCGAAATGTTATTGCCGACTTTACCATGAAATTTATTTATTTTCTCTGATGCTTCCTGGGGCAGTGCTGCCCCAACTTTTTTTAAAAGTCTGTTTGGGAATGTTTGATCTGTGGTGTCTGCATCTTGGGAAGTAATATACTGCCCACCGTGCTCCCTGACCTTACCTGTATGACTGTGCCACTTGGCAGACAATAGGTGGAGTAAACAAGACAAATGGCACAAAAATTTAAACCATGCCAAGATTCTCCCTGTAAAGCCAGAGATCTTGATTTATCGATGTACCACTGTGCTGCTTGTGAAAAAAAATCGAAAAGTTAATCGCAGGGCTGCCATGCAGTAATCATGGCAGCTGCCTTCCCTGGAGACCGAGGATGGGAAAATAATCGATAGGAATGTGCACACATGCTATACAAGTAAGGAATGTATTGATACATCATTAGTACAATTTAAAACCATACTCTTGGCAAGAAGAAAATAAATTGGAAATAAACTACTGGCTGGGAAAATGAGTTGATCTTGGCCATGCATCATGCACTTGGAACCTTATGGAATGATCTAAAAAATGGCCAAATTGCTATAACTGGGGTTCTTTTGCCAGGTATGATCAAGCCCTTAGTTCCAAAGTTCATTTTCTTTTCCTTGATGTATTTAGCAAGGCAAGAACCAAAATTCTTATTTTGTAAATTAACTTTACCTTAATGGCCAGGATTCTAGTGGATGTGCATGTACAATGAATTGTGAAAATTGCTGTGACTAATTGGGCTAATTGAGAAGGTACTGGGTGTGTGACTGGCACCTTGTCAATGAGCCAAAAAAAATTTAATGGTTCTTCTTCCTCTTCTATAAGTATATGACAGAATTCTGGACACTGTTGTTAAAGCATGATTTAAGATTATCAGGTTATTTTAAAGTGTTCTCGTGTCTTGAAAGCTGCATTACAACTAGAAATTGAATGTTTCCCCATGAAAATAAACTGTCCTGTTCTATAGGTACATAGACTAGATCATCCTTCTCAGAATTTTCCATATAATTATCAGGAAAAGAGTGGCTTGTTCACTGTGCTTTCCCATCATCTTCCTGCTAGTACAGAATCATGAAGTTAAGAGGGCAGTAGCAAAGAAGTCTGGTTGCAAAAACTGGGGGGAATGTGTAGGAAGATTGTAGCTCTTCCACAGTTTTGTACTGTTTTCCTGTTTTATTATTTTGAACATCCAGGTGGTCTTTACTATAGTACAATGACATATTTATTATTATGTCTCCGTATGAATCTATGAGATTTGAATGAAGCAATATTCTGATAGCTTTTAAAAATATCTGGAGAAATCAGTGGTAGCTAACTCAGGTATACTAACTTCTCAACACTGAAAACAGCAAATCTTACCTTAAAGGTATAGGGTGCTATTGCTGTCATGATGGTAACTCACTGTACCCCCTTCCCTTCAGGCTGCACTGTCTGCTCTTCTTTGTCTTCATCATCCTCATTTCTAGTTGCTTTAAGCAGCTGGTGCTTTTGCAAATAGTGTAGCCAGCTGGTCAACTAGCAGAGACAGTAAAAATGTTGAGAATTAGGCACAGTTATCACCACCATCATCAGAGCTGGAGTGAGCGAGTGGGGAGAAAGGCAGTGATTCCAGTGATGACAGTGATGGCAAAGTGAGGCAGAGGTGTGGAGGAGGATGAGCTGCCAGCATTATAATGACTGAGTGGAAGAAGGAAAGAGGGAGGCAAGCAGGTAATGTTGGTGGCAAAATAAGTCATAAAGGTTGGCTGGGAGGAAAGAAGGTTGTAGGAGCGATGGGCAGTATGTTTTCCCTCTTTTCCTAGTGATTGGTTCCAAGCAAGATAATAGCTGTTGGGAAAAAATAATGAAGAGTTTACCTGTATTGCTTACATGGGTTCCTATATATATGATGAACACTTAATTTTTTTCTTTTATAGGATGAGATCAATGAAATGAGAAAGAAGCTAAAGATTATGACACATCAGGTGGACCAGCTGAAAGAAGAGATCTCTGCTAAAGAGGCAGCTCTTGTGAAAGTTCATCTGGACCACCAGAGGATAGAAAAAGAGAAAGAGTCCTTAAAGGTAAGATACTTCAGCTGGTAAAAGTGCAGCAGTAGTAATCTGAGCTAAAGCATCAGTGTGAGTGCTTGGAACTGGCAAGAACTTCTATATATCCTTAACAGCAAACCCTTTCCCTTAACTTCAGCTTTGCTCATGTGGTTGCTGAAGAGGAGCACCTAAATATATTAGTTCTTAAGCTGTATAATGAGAATAAACCAAAGAACGAAGTCTTGTGGCATCTTTAAGGCTAAGAGATTTATTGCAGCACACACTTTCATGGACTGTAATACATTTCTTCAAGTGGAGTAGAGTACTTAAGTCATGGATTGATGTATATGGTTGTGAGGGTGCAGAGTGAAATGGGATGCAGAAGGTGACAATTACATAATGTATAATGGCAATGAACTTCTGAAGTGCTGACTATATAAACTTCCTGAGAATGTGTGAAGTGTGTATTAGTTAATGCATAGCTGTTAGGTTTTTGTCTATGAAGTTTCGAACCATTGAGCTCTGGTCTGAAGAGCTGGTTGTGCTCAGGCCAGTTTTATTTTTTTAAAAACGGAAACACAACTTTTTGGATACAGATAAGACTATATTTATTAATCTGTGTAGTGTGTTGAGAAGTCTGGATCTCTGTGTCGCGAATCCCGTGTCCCTTGTTTATTATTCCCTCACAAAGGCCCACAGGCGCGTTCCCTTTATGCTGCCACCAGTGGAATATCTGAATCCACAATACCATTAACGTATGACTGGACAGTTGTCTTGTGAACAAACAAAATGTATTTATTGAATTGAAACAGTATTCCAGACAATATTAGAAGTGTTTGAGGTAATCAAACTTCATTGGCCTTAGCTTATCAGTTCCCTCTTTACTTTGTTTCTCTTTGTTTACAGTTTCATAAACACATCACCAACCTATCACTTTCTAGCCAGTTCTTTTTATCTCCTCATTAGTTCCCTAACCGATCCTTATCTGATTGTTCCTCCTTCAGCCAAGCCTCATATATCAATTGACTCAGTCTTTCCAGCTCTCTCATAGGCTCATGCCAATAAGCTCTTGAGCGTGAATAGCAGGAGTGACAGGGCCCATCGCCACACTCCGTTTAAGCTTATAGTAACAAACTGAACAGTACTCAAGAGTGGCCTTTTAAACTCAGTGGCAGGAACTTCTGCTGACACATTATAGTTTAGCATACATGTTTCAGCAGCAACACTTCAACCACGTATTGTCACTGAAAGTATGAAAAGCTGAAACTTTCCAGTTTGTTTGACCAGACGAGGACCTACTCCTTTGGACATCAGCATACGGCGGTGGTTGGTCACCCATCCTTAATGCTGGGTCACAAAATTTCTGCTGAAGGTTGCTTCCCTCTTGTCTGCTACAGGTTACTGTCCAGTGGACTTTCAGGGTAAAGGAAGTGCTACTTCTGCTCTTTTCACCTGGGTTGTAGTATGTTTCAAAAGAATTGAGAAATGTTTATGCTAGCTTCACTAGGGCCAGTAGTGAGTTGTTATAGGGGCAAGATGGAAAACCTGGGTGCACAAACAACAAAGGCAGTTGTTGGCAGCTGGCACAGCCAGAGGAAGCATACCTGCAGAAATGTAGAGAGAGGTGGGTACCTATAGATAAGCAGAGGCATCTTTGCCAGAGGAAACAGACAGAATCGCCATATTAAGTAGCAGAAGTGTTCTAAGAGTTCTGGGAAATCACAGCATCCAGGAAGCAAAGAGCTAAGCAGAAGGAGACAAAGGAGGAGATAGGCAGAGACAGCTGATATTGGTGACTGGCAAGTCAGCAGAACAAGGAGGCTGTTACATCTAAGAGACAGCAGGGAGTACTAGGTAACAATTAAGCCTTATGGTCAGATTTTGGCATCTCCAAGACACTAGTCACTGGGCCCTCCTGCTCTGTGCTAGTAAGCAGAGGCAGTTTGCATACTCAGTGGTGATGACATAAGTAGAGAAGCTCAGAAGCATAAGGTTGACTTTTAGGAAGACGAACTATTCAAAAGCATCGAAATACCTGTAGCAGAATGTCACAGTGTCACGTACCATTTTAGTTAGGATGCTTGTTGTTGGACAGGAGTGTCCCAAAGGGCTCATTTATGCAGGAGGATGCTTTGGCTAATGTAATCAATTCAGCAGCTGCCACCAAATTCTGGTGGTGATGGTGACTGCTAAATATACTGCAGTGTGGCTCCAGTTAGTTGCTGGTTACTTGAATGCAGCCCCAGGAAAGCTATTTACCTTAAGATTACAAGGTGGACTTTTCGATCTCTCCCCATTCTCCCCTATGTTGAGCATTTTTGCAGAAACAAAGCCCCAAAAGCTGTTTTGTATTTTCCATGCATCTTTTGAAAGTTTGAATGAAATTTTGAGTGAGTCCAGATTTAGTACTGGTAACTTCAGGGGAAGCTTGCTTCACCTCAGGAAGCACCAAAAACCAGTTCAAAGGCATGATTTGGCTTGGATTTTGGAATTGATTCAAATCTAATGCAAATCACTACTTGCATCTGTGAAAAGCATGAGCATGGCAAGAAATATTAAAACATTGTAGGAATTGAGTACTCTTTTTGCGGGGGGGAATACTTCTTTTTTTTATTTCAACAGATATAGTTTGGCACAACATAGTTTATTCAGGCAACAGTTCTCTGGGGTGCCAGGGATAAGTATTTCCTGTCACATGATCATTTTGAAGATACGTAAGGAAGGAATTAAATTTCATATCTTCTCTGTTCATAGTGTCTGGTTTACTACTGAACCATGGCTCCTCCTCATAAATTAGCTACTGTAATTACAAGAATTGCTTGAGAAGATGGTATCGAATTAGATCCTCTTACCCGTGGCAGAATCTTTTTTCCTGTGTAGTCTTCTGTGACCTTTCTCAGCAATTGACAGCACAGAAGAAAAGATGCACATGCATACAAAATTTAGTTCTTCAGTGCCAGATAACTAGTCACTATAAATTCCTTGTAAATGAGATTTCTTCTGTTTCTGTGATAGAAATTTACTGTTAAAGAGCAATGAAAAGACATAAATCTCTGCTAAACCAGAAGAAGAGTATGGAATTACTTTAACATTTCTGTTATTTGAAGGTGCTGAATGTTGTCCAGCTTGTTTGTAAACTTTCTAAGTTCAGCTCAGTTTTCTCCTTTAAAGATAAACAATGTAAGTTGCAGGTGTATTTTCACAAAATGTATATGTGTGTGTGTTGGTTTTGGAGAGGGGGAATCCTTTCCTAGACACTTTTTGTTTTGCTTTCTATTTGGCAATTTTTGTGCTATGCTCTGATGACTGCGACTCTTCAACCATTGTCAGCACATTACTGTTATGACAGGATGTCAATAGAGCTGAGTAAGAAAAAACGATGAATGTAGGTTCCCAATATGTCTGTGAGTTGTTACATCAACTGTGAAGAAAAGCATTCAGAACCTCACTTCTTGTGCAAAATCTTATGCTTTAACTAGTCTCTAATGCTACCTTATCTCTGATGTCCTCCACCAGCACTTTCTCAGCAACATGATTCCTATGCTGTCTCCCCCCCCCGCCCTTTTTAATCTTCTCAGTTATTCCTTAACAAAAATGTCTGTGGTCTACTCTCACTTTAGTGTGTGGCTTGAGGGCATCCTACTCTGGTATGTTATAGAAGTGCAAAATAAGTAAATGAAGCACTGTTAGAAAATTAAATTTTGACTTGCATTGATGAGAAAGAAACCTGGAATACATTGGTGTTTTAGGGCATTTTGTAACTTGTGAAAATGGGGTGTCGGGTTTTGTTCTGTTTGTTGCTTCTGTAGTAACCTTTTTATATACTAAGACGAAGGTTTACCCAAATATACCATCTGTATTTTGCCACCTTTAGACTTGACATTTAGCACTAGCTGCTATTTTTTGTAAGTGTGACCCTGTAGGTTTTATGTATGTTGGAAGCCACCTAGAGTGGTCGTTCGACTAGATAGGCAGGGCATAAATACAATAAATAAATAACATAAAATACATTCTTGCCAGTGCTGCCTTCTCTTCTTCTCTCTATAATGTTTTACTTCCAGATAATTGGCAAAACTTTCTCTGAAAAACTGGGTGGAAAATTCCAATCATGATGCCAGAGGTGGGTCTTGAGACCATGCCCCCAGGGGTGGTTTTCAGTCTTGGTTTGAACTCACCTTAAGCAGACTTGGTACATGCATCTGACATGATTTTTTTCAGACTTTTATTTACAGTTTTTCTGCACTATCCATAAATATCAGGGCATAAGCCTGAAGAAGTGAAATTTATGCCATGAAAGCTTGCTGTTTATTTTTTAAGCAGTCTAGTAAAGGTATAATCTACTCTTGCATTTGTGTTACTTTCAAATACTGTAATGATCAAGACAGATACTATGCTGATTGCTTAGTGCTTCTAGCCCAACATTACAATCATGGCCAGTGTGCAGGGCTTCTTCTGCAAGTATATGAGATCCAGCAAGTATATGGTGGAAATGTGTTATTGTGAAGTGAAGATGAAGATGGCAGTAAAAGAAGAGAGTGAGCTGTCCCCTCACATATCTGAGACAGGAGGTGGCAGAGATGCAGTAGCTGACGTGACACCACAAGTTGGATGTTTAGATGTAGGAGAAGGAGGGCAGAAAGAAAAAGGGAGGCGGAATCAAAAAGAGAAAAGGGTGGAGGAGGTTTTCTTGACAACAGAGGGGGAGAAAGGGGGAAAGGAGAGTGAAGGAAAAAGAGTTTTTCAAATTAAGAGAGGAAGACAGAAAAGATGAGAGAGAACCTTATGTATTTAAGGTGCCAGAAAGAGGAGGTGTAGGAGGAGAAAGACACGTAGTGTGTGGGTGAGGTCGTGGGGAACAAGGGATAGAGGTCCAACTAGAATGGTTGGACCCCTTAGAACGGACGGTTTTGGTGTATCCCCGCGGTCAAGGTCCTTGGAAGAAGGTGGTGCGTCCAGGACCAATTCCACTGAATCCGAGACCCCAAGAGGGAGATCGGTCCTGTCACCCCTGTTGTTGGACCATTTGTGCAGTGAGGAGCAGTTCATTAAGGAACCCGACAGCCCAAGAGAAGTTCGAACCATCCCCGTGTTGAAGGATGAAGAACTGAATTATAGACTATCATTGTCTTGGACTGAGTTTCCAGTAGATGTTTGCCCTATTGGTCCTACAGAAGTAGTTGTTGATTCTCCTTTCGCTGTTGTTAATAAAAGCTTAAATGAAAAAAGTAAGGCTCCTGTGGTCATTCCCGCCAACAGGGAGGAACTGCTTAACTTTTCTACCGAACCCAATCACACTTATCCTGCCAATGTTCAGTTTCTACTTAGACTTTTGCATTTTTATTGCAGAATATGAAGATTCTATATATGCAGGTCTTGAGATGACAGCTGTGTTAAATTTTGCACTTGATTCCAATCATCCTTTGAACTTTGGCTTAGCCTAACAGCTGCTGGATTGTGCATTAGTGGTTGTGATTTGACATTGCATGACAGATTTATGTGTACTTCATGCAGCTTAACCAGGGAGTTCATTTGTATCAGTAGCTTCTGCTAACATATAAAGATGCATTTTGTTTACAACTTCTATCTTCTGTAGCATAAAGGGAAACCATGCTCTGATATAAAAAAGTAAATGTGCTGAACATGTGAGCCCCTTTATGCTTGCAGACAAGTTCTTTTACACATGGTTTATTGCAATTTAATACAAGGCAACAACCATTTTTATTCTGATAGAATTTCATCAGTGCCTAAAACTAAGTAAGTGAGATATAAATATTGTGCATATGGAAAAATAGAAATTTTATTAAAGAAAACAGTAATAGGACAAGGCATTTTACTAGTACAACGGAATATGTGTATCTGTCATCTTACATTATTGCATTATCTTCTTTGTCCACTGTTTCTTAAGCAACAGAACATGCCGCCTTTTATTGGGATCCGATTCTTTTCTTAATATGCTGCTTCAGAGTGGGATCAAACATTTTTATCATTGAGGAACACTGTCCTCAGGAGAAAACATTATTGTTCCAACTGATGCTTGCCCCTAATAACGTTTTGTTTCAATGGTTTTAGTAGAGAGGGTTTTTACTTTTCTGTTCCTTTAAATGAATTGAGTGACTGGTGATATAAGAAGCCATGGGATGTTCTGTTGCTGCTGGGTGTGGCATCAGTAGGCATCTGAAAATGATTTAGCGCAATTTGATGTCACCAGTTAATTGCCAGCAACGCAACAGTACTAAAAGTAGATGGAAGAAGTGATAATTGAGAGCTGTAATTTCAGAGGAGCAAAAGTTATAAGAAATGAAGAGTTACTGCATATGCAATAAAACTGTGGTAGAATTTCCCTCTGTTTGTTAATATTCATTCAACACAATCCCTTTTATTCTCATATAAGGACTAGTGACCATTTGGTGCTTTCTTGACATTTAGTGTTGTGCTTTAAACCAGGCTCTGTCTGTGCTCCTGAACAATCCATGTTCTCAGTGCTCCATTAAAAATGTTAGCAATATGACTGAAGGTGACCTGACCAGTATTTGTTTTATTACTTTGTCTGAAAGTGTGCTCTGTCATCTGCATCAGTGGAATTGTTCAGTAGATAGCAGCTTTCCTGATCTTGCCCAGTCTTCTGTATCATTTCAGCCAGATGCGTTGTGTCCTCAATCCAGCAGTAATTTCACTGAATGCAACAGAGCTTACTTCTAAGTAAGTGTTATATGATTGCAGCCTTACAGTGTCAACGAAAATGTATCTTTGACATGCTGCAATTCTAACTAGCTTTTTACAGCTGTGAAGAGTGTTGTGGGTTATACACAACTGACACTATTGTAGTTCATTTTTCCCCCTTTGCAATTTAAGAAGTCCTTTCAAATTACAAACTGAGCCTAAGTTGCAGTGATGTTTCTTCTGGCTATGATGTACTTTTAAAAAATGTTGGAAATATTGTACAACTTTTAATATCAAGAATCAAAGGTATATTTCTGTGCTAATTTTCATTTGCTCTTGAGAGCCAACTAACTAAATCAAACAAAACAAGAGAAACTAAACACGTGTAAAACTACTTCTAAATCCTAATGACCTTAAATTGCCAGGTTTATGAAGTGGGAAGTGTTAGTAAAAACAATATTGTTTCCTGATTTTTTTCCTGTTAGAGTGAACTGCTTAAAATGAGACAACAAGCTCTGGAGACAAAACATTTTATTGAAAAACAAGAGGAGGAAGAAAGAAAACTTTTGAAAATTATTTCTGAAGCAGATGCAGAGAGAATGAGGCAAAAGAAAGAATTAGACCAGGTAGGTAGCAGGAACATCTGTTCTGGGTCTTTTGTGACACAGCTGAAATGGGTTGGCAAAAACCTGATAGAAGTTATGTGTTGTAAGACAGAATGATGCCTGTTTATTCCACTTGAAAATTGGCTTTTCAGCCCAGACATTTGAAGACCCTTACCAATATTGTTTTTGTACTAGACCCTTACCAATATTGTTTTTAGCATTATAATTTTTACTGACCCTCATGCTTTGTGACAATTTTCATGGCTTTGGACAATGCTGTAGAATCTTGTCTTAGCCTGTCTTATTTTTAGGTTATTAGTGAAAGGGACATTCTGGGAAGCCAGTTGGTTCGCCGCAATGATGAACTCGCTCTTCTGTATGAGAAAATCAAAATCCAGCAGTCAATTCTGAACAAGGGAGAAATGCAGTACCGGCAAAGAGTAGAAGACATCCGACTACTGAAGCTGGAAATAAAAAAACTTCGTCGGGAGAAGGCAATACTTGGCAAAAGTGTGGCTAATGTGGAAGAACTCAGGTAGAAAGTGAATTACCTTTGCTTAGGGCTGTAGCCATGACACTGCTTTTTGAGACACCAGGGAACATTTATTTTTGTGCATGACAAAGATTGGTTTTGACATGTAAGTTATTTCAAAGTAGGATTTTGTTTCAGCTGACCTCATACACATACTAGATTAGAATTAAAACAAAGCAACCAGTCAATAAAAATGAAAAAAGGAAGTTCCTAGTGTCGAGACGATTGCAGTTCTGACTTTGCTTTCATCAGATCTTTAGTTTGACAGTAGGAAAGGTGAACTACATGATGGTTCTTGAGGCCTACAATAGCAAAATAACTTTTAAGTATAAAATCTACAGTGGAAAAAGAACAGTTGACATATTTATATAATTTATTATATGTTCCCAACTTTCCAGCATTTCAGATTAGACCTCGCAAAAAGACTTGCATAAATTTTCACTGTCAATTATGTTTATTTGAGAACAATTTAATGAAATTGTTGGATTTACTGTATCTCCCCTATTTTGGGGTAACACACTAAAAAGAAAAAAAAGGCTTAACTGTACTTGAGACATATTTGTTTTTTTAAAAAGAGACTGTTATATAGTCATTATGGGTTTATAAGAAAACAAAAACAAAGCAGTCTGTACTTTTCAATGGGTTTCTATTCTGAAATAGAATACTTGTTTCTGTTAAGGAAGATTTATGATGCACGCTACACTGTTTATTATGTGTTGGAATACTTATCACTTCAAATACAAAATCTGCTGTATCAGAAGTATTATTGCATTTACACTTGTCCTGCCATAGCATTGTTACCTGGAATAAGTACATGACATATCTCAAAAAACAGATATATAGCTATTTGGATTTTTTTTTCATGAATGAACATGGTCTTGGGGGTGGAAAACTCCCCTTAAATGCATTGGTATTTCTATTGGAGTAATTTCCATCCCAACCAATATTAAGTCAGTTAGAAAGAAGGCTATCTCCAAAATCCTTTATTTCAATTGAAAATTTCCCCATGCATTTTGGCCTGAATTTATGGCTGCCTTCAGAGGCTGCATAAAATAAAATAAAAAAGAGGAGGGGAATTCTCTCCTTTTTGTTTTATTTTATACATCTTCTAAAGAAGGCCATAAATTCAGGACAAAATGCATTGGACAATTTTAAATTGAAATAAAGGATTTATTTTCTTACACATTGAGACTGCAGTTTTTCTTTCTGGATCATTTTTGTTTCATGTATGAGTTCCTTTTGTTCCTTATCCCAAAAATGCATTGACGTTTTCCACTAATTTCTGATAATTTCAATCCTAGGCAGGGTATATAATAAATTTAAAATTCATTTTCTTCTAAAACATGAGCCTCATTTCTCATTGCAAACTTCTCTTGCAAACTAGCCAACAGAACAAAGATAGAAGGATCACAATAAGTAGCATCAACACATCTCAGCTTCACTAAGCCTGGCATGAGTGAATCAATCTTCAGTAGTAACTTGTCAGACCAAGGAGTCTGATGTCTGAACATTTTCCTAAGAGCCCTATNATTTTTCCAAAAGCCCTAAAAAACTTTATAAACCGGGGGGGGGGGGCGGAAATCAGAAGCTTCATTTGTTACAGCTAGCATTTTGTCCCATTTAGGGTTAATTCCACAATGAAATCAGTGGTTTCCAATCATATCAAAATTCACCTGGGTACCAGCATATAATTCTTTTATTGTTGCAATGATTCCAGTCATTGCAACATCTGACAAACCTTGACATCTGAGCGCTCAGCCTGGAGGCAGGCAGTGCACCATGGCCTCTCTCATTTGAAGAAACACTTGTCCAGCAGGCCGAGGCAAAGAGGCAGTCCTGAAACTAGTCAAATCAGGGAGATGGACAGGGGATTGTATTTGTCTTCAGTGTGGAAGGATTTGTCACTCTCGAATTGGCCTTCTCAGCCACACTAGACACTGTTCCAAGTCCTCTATTCAGAGGACGTTACCATAATCTCTTGAGACTGAAGGATGCCTAATCTAATCGATTCCAGTCAGCATCAGTCATCAACATTGCTTCCATGTTCCATAAACACAAAAAGATTTCAAAGTTGTTAATACATCAAAAAGGCTTAGAATTACTGTGTTTCCTCGAAAAAAAGACAAGGTCTTGTACTAATTTTTGCTCCAAAAATGCATTAGGGCTTATTTTCAGGGAATGTTTTATTTTTTTTCATGTACATTTTTTCATGCATCTACATTTATTCAAATACAGTCATGTCATCACCTTCTGGTAGCTGCACAATGGTGGAGGGTGGAGTTTCACTTAACTGGGGCTAATTTTGGGGGTAGGGCTTATATTATGAGCATCCTGAAAAATTATACGAAGGCTTATTTTCAGGTTAGGTCTTATTTTCAGGGAAACGGGGTAGTTCCATTAACTTTCTCATATCTTCCTTAGTTTTAACATTTTACCCTTCAATCCAACCAGTCAGTAAATAATCCAGATGACAACCTAGCTGAGTACAGGTTTCATTAGGTTTCTTCCTTAAATTTATCAGTTCCCTTCTATGATGTTCAGCAGTTAATCCAAACCTCTGTTTTACCCTGTTTTTATATAATTTATAATTCTGGGTCTCCTCCAATCTCATTTCTCCATAAATTTCTGCTAAGCACCCACACATTTAAGATTTAAGATACCCCGTTCTTTCTTCAGGCTTAAATCCTATTTCCACACAAGTTCTTTCAAAAGTTGTGAGAAAAGAGTTCACATTATCTCCTTTATAATATCTGGCAAATCTCTTCATATCCATCTGAGGATATCTCTTGGTTTCATTTTCATTTCCTGAGGTGATGGATGCCAATTCTGGTTCCTTTGCTCTTAACTGGAAGCCCATTTCTTTCTCTCTTAATCTTCTTTGTTCCCTTTCTTCAGTTCTCTCACCACCAGCTTGTTTTGATTCAAGAACCTGAGCTTCCATTTCTGGATTTCTTTTTCTTTTTAGGAAGCAGCTGTTTGTATTTCAATATATTCACGAAGGCTTTCACAGCCGGGATCTAATGGTTGTTGTGGGTTTTTCGGGCTCTTTGGCCGTGTTCTGAAGGTTGTTCTTCCTAACGTTTTGCCAGTCTCTGCAATCTTCAGAGGACAGCACTCTGTATTTCCTTACAATTACTTCAGAACTTTTATCTCAGGAAATACATTTAAAATCTTCCCAACACTTATTTCTTTGTCCAGGCTAAGTTTTTTCAGTTACTCCTTAACTTTATTTATTTATTTATTTATTTATTTATTTATTTATTTTTGATTTTTTACCCCGTCCATCTAGACAACCCAAAACGTTACCTCAGGAAGTCACTACAGTAATCGCTTAGTGTCTCTTAGTTTACCTGCAATTCTCCTACCAATTTACCTCAAACTTTTACCTCAGAGAATCATTCTAATCAACAGAGCAACAGACACTTTTCTCTCAATTTTAAAATTTCACTGAGATAGAATTTCAACCACCATATTTCTAAATCCCACCAAACAGCATTCTCCAGGACCTCTGCTGGATCTCTAAAATCACCCACTGGATTTTCAGATCCTACCATGATTCCACTGATTAAGTGACCAGCCCCCACCCAGGCTTGCCACTTTTAAAATAACCATCCTCGATTGCCTTTGACTCCAGCCATTAAACATACTAGACCAAGCAAAGAATGAAACAATTGATATTCTCTTTATTACAAAGTAACAATGTCTAGGGAAACAGATTTGAACTTCAGTTTTCCTTCAGTTACAGCGCAACTGCCCAAACACACCCTCCTTCTTTGCTTACACTCTTTCTTACACCTAACATTGCAGCTCCCAATGCCCTTTCTCCGTTGGGCTCTCCCAGACAGGTTGACCACCCGAACCTCCCCAGCCAATCACCTTGTTTCCCCTGTTACCATGCAGATTGGTCAAGGTTCTGTCACACCATGTAAATAGGGACTTCAGTGGCCAGGACAGAATTGTGTTCCAAGTCTTCTGTTTATTTTTTTAAACTGGAAAGAGACAACTTCCTTTTTCATTTCCAGTTTTTCTTTTTCTAATTCTAGTGCCATAGAATGTCTTTACCACAAACATATGTCAGCAATCTAAAAATTCTATTTGAGTGACTTATTGGATTGATCTGTATTTGGGACTGGGGGTGAGATTTTTTTTCTCTAGGCCCAATTTCCAGTTCATGATAATATTAGAGGAGATTTATATGGGTTGCCTAATGTTCGGATACAGAGGATGTGTCTAGTGCAGAAATTAAGGAAAATAAGTGCTTGGACTATTTAAGTATTTTCTGATCATGGCATATCATGATTCAATGAAGATATGGTATGTTTTTATTTAATATCCCGCCTATCTGGTCGGTGAGGACCACTCTAGGTGGCTTAAAAGATGCATTAATAAATCAACCATAAGCTTTGTGTATGCAGCTTATTCTTTCAGGCTAGATGCATGATTTTCCATATGTAAATTCAAAGGTATGCCACTGTACCAAGACTAGTAAGTGTTAATAGCATTAGCAACTCTTGCACTTTAACCATTACTAAATCTGACCCAAAGAGTATTTTTTTTATCATTTGCAGTGCTAAGTAGCTTTAACTTGTACTAGTGTTAAAGTTCTTTTGTTTTGCCACTCAAACTCAGTATTTCTTCAAATATTACAAATACAAAATCTAAACTGACTGTGCTTTTTATTAATAGTTATTCAATAACGTTTTTATGGTAACAGTAATACAAGAGAAGGGTTGGAACTAAAATGAAAGCAAACTTGGAATTCTGAAAAATAGGTTTATAATGGCTTAAATCCTATTGTGGAACTTTACATCATGCAAGGCTGATGTTGTCATCAACCATGGCTATTTGTGAGGAATTAAAAGTTTTTGATTCCCTCAGGTTTTGAGGCTTCTATAGGATCCATTTCATCAAGGGAAATCCATTGGGAAATGTGGGATGGGAGTAAGTCTTCAACTTCCAGAAATCTCTGCTGATGGTAAAGTCATCCTGATGGTGGCAGGTTTTGGAAATTAAAGACTTCCTCTCATCCTCTGGTCCCCAATGGCTTCCCCTTGATGAAAGGAGTCCAAGGGAGCCTTGGAACCTTCAAGGAGGGGGAAAATGTAAACTTTAATTCTGGAAAATTGATGATGTCTGATTACCTAATCAGTCTTGCCTGGCATAAACTTATGTGACATGCTTTAATTCATTATGTTATATCATCAGCTGGAATAATAATAAAAAAGTTTCTAATAATCAAACTATGCGATCAGTTTTATAGCTAAATCTCTATTTGGTCACTTTCTGATCCAGGATGATCAATGAGACTAGAGGAGAGTGACTAGCCCTGTCCCCTTCCTCATAACTTAGCTTGAGCACTGATGAGTCTGAAGAGGAGAAGTTTTTGCTCATGCAGCTATGATCTAGCACAACGAATATTGCTCGTATTTCAAGCTCATCTTTGATAATCTTCATACAACAGTAGGTCTCATGTTTCACTCACATTCCACCCACATATGATCTAATGTGGGTGGAATGTGAGTGAAACATGAGACCTACCATTGCACGAAGATTATCAAAGATGAGCTTGAAATACGAGCAATATTCATTGACACACAAACTAGAACCCAGATTTCCCAGGTTTCTTGCTCACATGTATAGCCTACACACAAGCAGGGACCTTCCTTTGTCAGACTTGTTCCTATGTATGTGGAGAAAGTGACAAGGGAGGGTTGGGGCTTTCCTCCCTTCCCCTGATAATGCTAGTAGTGCCTAAATATTGCTAATGTCTCAAGACAATCATTGTTGAACTCCTTAGATCAGTAGGTGTGAGGTTTCATTTATTATTAACTGTGGATACCACGCAAGACATTACATATTTCACCAGCATATGATCTTAATGTTCTAGATGATACTTGTGGTACATACTATGTTTTATTTTCCCTTTTATTATTATACGTGCTTTTGTGATCCACTGTTCCAGTTTCCAACTGCACGTAAAGAGCCTGTTGTGCTGCTGTTTTTTGCAAGAGGTAAATGGTATTACATTGTGAAAACATGTTGAAAATGTTTTTTTCTCAGTAATTGAAAATACTGTTAAAAATATGGAGAGAAAAAATAGGTCATGCAATTATTTTCATCACAGGAGAAAGTAATTTGAAATTTATTCTATGAGTTTGCAGAGATCATGGTATTTGTGTGACTCTCTTTCTGAAGACAGGAAGTTTATCATATGCAGAAGGAGTTACTGAAGGAGCGGACTCGCTGTAGAGCTTTGGAAGAAGAGCTAGAGAATCCTATGAATGTTCATAGATGGAGAAAATTAGAGGTACAATGTCACATCCCAAAAGCCTGAAGTTTCATATAAGTAGAATACTGCCATGCACTTTTTTAATAGTTTTGAGTTTCCCTCAATTTATACTTCTAACATTCTAAGTTGCTTGAAGCTTCATGAAGCTTCACACTTTCTTTTCACATCTGCAGCCCCCAGTAGCTGAACAACCTTTTGCTTTTAATCCAATGGTTCATTAAGAACAGTGCTATTTGTACTCATTCTTTGCCAAGTAGCTGATTGAATGCCTTCTGACCTGGGAAATTTTTCTTGTAGAACTATTTCTTGTTTTATGTTGAATTGTCTCCTCCCAAATTTTCACTTCATAAATATTTGGAAGTGGTTTGCCATTGCCTTCTGCCCAGTACTAACAAGAGTTAATGTTTAGTACTGCTGCCGTGGTCTGTAAAAAATCTTTCACTTGTGTCACCCTCCACAACTAGGATTTCTTCACTATCTTCTGGTGATGCAGCAATTAGTTTCTGAAGAGGAAGGATGGATCACTCCAGTGTCTCAGCTTTGACCATTCTGCTTTGCATGACCCTGCTGATAGTGTTGACTTGTAAAGTAATCTAACCTGATGGTTTTCTCTCAGCCTTCCTGAAATATTCAGTTTCCTTCACCATGTGAAGATGTGCATCCAAGAAGGGAAAATACTAAGTGAAAAAGTGAAAATCAGTTAATGTAGGCCAAATCCATGGCAAAAGTGGTAACTCCAAACATTTCACAAGCTAGCTAAGATTTGTTTTGCAGGGATTCATCATGCCAAAGGTTACTCAGTTGACCTCCCAAATTAGTGGCAGTATTCATGCTCCTAAAAAGGTTGAAGTGAATATTTTAACTGTACTAGTTTGCACAATAGCCAGTATTCGAGCTTTTTTTGTTTTTTAATGAGCACAAAGTAGGATGGTGGATTGTATTAGAAATCATTTCTATGGTGTTTTTTTAAAGAGCCAAAATGTTCAATGAACTGTTGGATAGCTCAGGGGTTTAGGTATCTGGCTGTGGAGCCAGAGGTCAGGAGTTCGATTCCACACTGTGCCTCCTTAACAGGGGCTGGACTTGATAATCCATAGGTTTCCTTCCAGCTCTGCAGTTCTAAGATTATTATTGTTTCAATTAATTAAAATGCTTAGCAATTGCTAATGCTGGGAAAATATTTATTTTGACCTGACCTTTCCTGTACTAGTGAGCTATATGTCTACCTCATAAGGGTTTCTTGGAGTTATTTGTATAGCTGTGGAGGTTCAAGTAAAATACTAACAATCCATCTCCTTTGGACTCTATAGATGACAATAGTGTAGTATATAAAGGGGAAATATAATTTAATAGCATTCCCCTGTGAGGAGAAATACAACAGCTAAACCCTTCTTAATGGGCCATCTTGCCTCCCCCTGGGACCCATTGAATATGAAATGTCTAGTTCACCTGTTGACTTGGGAGAGGCCATGTTGTTAGAGGAGGAGTCAGAAGAAATGGAAAGCCTGGGAAATTTTAAAAGTCTGGGAATGAGAACATGACTTCTGGAGGAGGAGGGAATGAGGGAGGAAGCAGAGAATTAAAAGGAAGGAATAGAAGAGGAGGAGAAAGGGAGGGAAGGAAGGAGGGAAAAAAGGGAAAGGATTGTCAGGGTCCGGGACTTCCACAAAGGATGAGACAATTTCAAGAAAGAGAGAGTTAGACTGACTAGTTTAGGAGGGTTGATCTGGCAGAAAACCCAGGAGAAGGTGTGCCAGATCCCGTGGTGCTTCTAGAGGAAGAAATGCAGGGAGGAAGGTTGCCACAGGTTTGTCATCCTCATTGTACAACCCATCCTTACTGCAACCACCATTGTTAAGAGTTTTTCCAGGCTGATCCATCCACCCAGACCTAGGTGAAAAATACACCAGTGAACCTGGGGGCCATGTGGAGGAAACAATAAAAGGTTTTGTTCCTTTGCAAGCCTAGGAGTAATTGAAAGATAATTGTACCCAGTTGATATTTGACCCTGTTAATGTTTCTTATCCTGTTCCAATAAATCCTGTTAGTTTTGATAAACTAGAGTCTAGTGTTATGCAACAAAATACTTGGGAAGGACTTCCCTTGGGACCTGCTGTAGCATGCGGGGGTCACCCCCCCTTTTCTTGTTCTTTTGTGCTGAAAAACTATAATTGCATGAATTATAGTATGCCTGTTTTTCCTTTGGGGATGTTGCTGTCATACCAAATTTTTCCTGCAGCATATTGCAATGGCTAAGTGTGAAGAGGCTGCCCTGTAGCTAGGTGGTTGATGCCCCAGGGCAAATAACTCTAATGCTGATCACTGTTGATAGACTGTTCCGGGACTATGTACATGTCAACACCATTTTCATTGTCAAGTGTCCTCTTTGGAAATAATTGATGAAAATAGACAGTCTGTAACATGGCAGTAACATCACTTTTTGTTATGTATTCCATAAGCTAGTAGAGATCACTGCCATTTAACTATGCTTCAGAGTTCTGAATGTTACTGTTTGAAATGATCTCATTATTATACACCGGAAGAGGAGGACATCCTTGGGTGGGTTGTCACCTCCTACTCTATTCTCCCCTACTCTTCTTTTGATAATCAAAATACAGTACTTTAAGCAAATTAGAGTGCCCCAAGTGCTCTCTAGTGTAGGAGGTCATCTCAGGAAAAGTCTCCAGTTTTGTTCCTGCTTCTGCTTTGCAGAAGCCATATTTTTCTGGATCCTTTTTCATCCCTTCCTCCTCTAACTCCAACAATGTAATGGAACCAAAACTGAAAATGGGAAATGCTGGAGTACACTGTTTCAGCTGTATACATGATGTTGGAAGGAACAATGAAAAGGCAACACTAAAATACGCTGGTGCCATTTTGACATATGCAGCTAGCTCCTGCATGACTGCAGCTCCTCCTGCTAAACCCTTGAGACCTGTACAAAAGCTAGACATTAAGAGGAGCCTCCCATATCATTGGAACACTCCCCACCACCCTCCCAGTCTTTAGAATGGAATGAAGCACTAGATTCTTCTCTTTCCCTGCTTCTGTCAGATTTAAAAGAGGGGGAGTTTGCAGCACCGGGTAAGGAGTGTGAAGCTAAAGAGCAGGATGTTCCTCTTCCAGATTAATATTCTCATGAACATACAGTATTTGGCAGTTCTCATGAAAAAGACAATTAATGTATCAAATCTAAAATAACCAAGTACCACCAATGAGTCAGATCTCCCATCGAGTCTGGGGAAAACATTTGGAATGGTTAGGGCCCATCTTCAGATTTTCCATTTCCAAGTGCCTTCATGGCTACCATCAGAGAAGGCTGGGAGAAACTGCTGTGGCAGTGAGGCCTCTCATTCACCATACTTGAATTGGTATGTGCAACCACCAAAGTGATTGTCACTCCCAAACCTCTGCACTTACTAATGGGGACTCCTTCCCCTGAAACCACACATGTGATCCTTTTGCCTCCCAACAACACAACTCCCATCACCCAGTAACCAGTGACAAACCAACACTTATTCTTTTTCCCTGAACAGTAGCAAATTACAGCCAAGGGCATTACAGGCAAAGGAGTCATTCATTGTTTCTAAATGTAGCTTGTCCCAAAAACAGCGTGTTAAAAACAAGTTTTCCTAACTCTTTTATGTGCATGTGCAAGATACTCTAGAATCTGCATTCAGTCCTTTTAGTAATCAAACATTGATGCTGTTTCAAACACTAAACGAATTGCATATGAAGATCTCCATGATGAGACTGGTCTTTGAACCAGGTACTATTCCAGTTGATAGGCTCAGCAGTGGGGGATTTCTACACAGACTGATTAACTTCTCTTTTTCCCTGCGATCTGCTTATGTTGCTAGGTAAATAAATTACATCGCTGAATTCTGAGCTTTATTCTGTCAGAAGACTGGCCTTGTTTAATGTGGAAGTTATTCTGCTTTCAGTAACAAGACATAACTTGAAAGACATAAAGCTTTTAATTGAAAAAGTGTATTCCTCTCATGCAGGCCAGCGACCCAAGTACCTATGAGCTGATACAGAAGATACATGCACTGCAAAAACGGCTGATCAGCAAGACAGAAGAAGTGGTTGAAAAAGAGTTGCTTCTCCAGGTACAGTCAAAATGTTGGATATATCCTGTTTACATTTATATGTTTCCTTTTGGTCATTTTCAGATCATTGGAGCCTTCTTTCCTACCCCTCTGAAAATATGTGTGTGTTGCTTTTTGTTGTGAGGTATCCAGACATCTTTTAGTGTTGTTATGGGATAGCCTTTTCTGCAGGAACTCTATTTCCCAACCTTTTAGCAGGGATGTGCACTAGCACCAACATTTGGATTTCGAATTTGGAATTTTTAAAATTTTGAATGTCTCGGTATCCAGAACTCTGTTCTAAACAAAATGAATACTATACTGTATAGTCATTATTTTCCCCCTTAAAAAATAGACAAAACATTTTTAAGGATTTACCTGTATACTCTGACACCTTCCCAGTGATTGTGCCAGACAACAAGAGGGCACACAAACAGCTAGCAGTGCCTATGTACTAAGAAATGGCTATGTACTAAGAAATGGGCATACTGATTGAACCCTGAACAGTGGTAATGCCAGCAACATTGGGGAAACAGAGGTTAGGTTGCACTGGGGAGTGGGCAAATAATCTGGGTAGCACTGCCAGGCAGATTGGAGTAGCAGGGGCACAGCACAATTGAATGAGTGAGCACAATCTTGGAGCAGCAGTTGGAAGAATCAAAGAAGTAGAAGGAGGTGGCAGCAGACTGAAGCCTGGCATACCTAGTACTGTGAACAGAATGTGCCATTCTCTATTACTTAAAGGAACTTCAGGAAAGTTCAGCAATGGCAAGTTGACCTTAAGGAGAATGTTTTTTTCTCCAGATCCAGGTTCAAAGTGTGAGAGTATGGACTGACAATGTCCCCTGCGTGAGAGAAAAGTCTCTCACTGAGCACACTAGTTGGTGGGCAAGACAGCAGTCCTATTGCCATCTTGGCCAGACCTCCCTAAATAGACTCCTTCTCAGCCCAGTAAGATAATGATGTCTTTTGGCTTGCAGGGCTCCTGCATGTACACCTCTACCTCTGCCTTGTCCTTCCTCTGGGGTGGTGTCTCTGGAGGACAGACCCCTGAAGTCCTTGTCAGGACAGTGTCCCAGAAAGCTTGTCCTGTTGTTGCAGTGATGAGGGACTTGAACTGTAGAATACAACTGCAGATGCTACTGTTTGGGGTGCTATGAACATTGTTTGCTTCTTCCTGCTATGTGTAGTCACTCAGTACTAGCTAGACCTTCACTAGCTGCTGCTGCATGTGATTGAAAGTCGGATGGCATTGCCACTCCCCCCCCTGCCCCACTGCTGTTTAATATCCATTATTTGCTAATTTGGGGATCCAAGGCGGAAACCTGTAGTGGAGGAGGTCTTTTGGCTGGCTGACCAAAGACACCACTTTGGGCCAGAAAACTGCTGTGTTCTCTATGAAATTCCCCCATCCACATGGACTGTATGCTCATTGAACACATCAGCTCTTGGGGAGAAAAGTGCCTTCTCCACCATATTTTTTTGCCCCCTGCCCTGGCTGGATTACACAAAATCCTTACTGGAACATGTGTGAGGTTCACTCATATCTGCCCTACTTGAACCAGAGGCTTCACTGTCACTTCCTTGGCACACCCACCCACACTCTGTACTGCTGCCTGCTGCTCTTTCATAAAGCCAGTGCTGAACAGGGCCGCTGGGTGACAGGTTTTGTTTGGGGGAGATCATAACAACAATTGCAGGATGTCTTTTTCCTCTCCCTCTCCCACTCCTCACAGTAGAACCTGCTGCTGTGCCTTCCCCAAGTGCCTACTTCTTCCACCACATCCATATGTCATACTGCTTGCAAGCTCTACCTAAAGAAGAACAGGATCTGATTTTGCAGAATACAAACTCTTCCAACAAATCTCTCTCTCTCTCTCTCTCTCTCTCTCTCTCTCTCTGCCTCTCTCTCTCTCTCTGCCTCTGTCTCTCACACACAGAATCTATGAACTTAATAGAGCTGTCCATATATACAAAATCTTATTTTTCTGCGTGATGTACCCCAAAGGGCCTTAAACCTAACAGAATCTTCCCTGTATAACATATTAATATGTTATACAGGGAACATTCTATTGATATGCTATATTAATAGAATGTTATTAATATGTTATTCCCTGGATGACATATTATAACATATTTATGAATCTACTAATCCCAAATCTCATTCCTAGCTACATTGAGTAAACATACACAATAAGGTGCAGAGAAGGTAAATGTAAGTTGAGGGTTCAGAAAAGGATACAGAGAAAACTGCTGTCGTACAAGCTTCCATCAGAGCATATCCTAATGGCAAATGCTATAGGGATTTATAAGCAGCTATGCCCACCTTTCGATTGGAAAGAACCAATATGGAAAGCAATACCTTCTGATATCTGTGTCATCTTTTAAATTTAATTGGTGCAGAAGAACATCATTTAGAGGTTTTCATCTCAATTCAGCTCCACTCCCTTGGGAAACCCATGGCAACCCCAGATCAGGACACTGAGTTCTCTGTCCCCATTACCCTTGATGCAGAGAAACTATTTCTCAGAGGATGCCTGAGAAATAGTTTTCACTTTCACATCATCCACTAGCAAGCAGAAACCTAGGCTTTTTCTTTCTAATCCATAGGAGTAAATGGGACTTCAAATATTAGGAATTATGATTACAGATATTTGGAACTATCAAACATAGATTTGGATCTATTTGGAACTATCTAAATATGGCATTCTTCAGTAAATTTTAAATATTACTGAATCTGGATGCTGGAAAAAATGCAGTTCATACTCCAGGAAGGACAGGCACTTGTGTGGAGATTTTATGGAATATGTCATATGTGTCATATGATGACTAGTAACTCTGATGTGAAGGAATGGAAGGAGAAGTAATTTTTTTTCAGACCTCCTAACTAGCTGGCTAATTTTTGTTTCCAATGAGCACATCCTTTGTGAGATGGTCTGACTTAAGAAGGCTTTCATCTGTCTTTTTTGACATACAGATTTTTTTTAATGTTCGGGGAGCATTGCTTTGCTTCAGAGCACCAGCTTGAAACCACTCAACTACAGTAGGATGCATGGTGAGAAAGGGTTTTAGCCAAGGCTCCTATGCTAGTTCTCTGCTGCAAGATCTGCAGTTCTTTTCCCAGAACAGTGTCACAGGAGCAGAGTGTTCTTTTTTAAAAATTGTGCTATAGTAAGAGTATCTCAACAGAAAAATAATTTTACTCACTCCCCCATCTGATTAGAAATTGCAGTTACTTTGAGAGATATAATGCCATGATGGTGATTGTGTCACACCTGGATTGAGTATATTGAAAAGCCTTGAATATTATTGGGAAATCATGCCATGCCATTATTTTATGGAACTAACTGTGCTGCCTGTCCTTTAACTAACTTTAGATGGCAGCACTTATTCACATATAGAGAATCTTTGTTACTGCAATCCACACTTTCTGGGTAGAAAAATAAAGGGCAATGTTCTCTCCTCTACTTCCATTTATATTAAACAAATACTAGATGTATATGCCAGGCTTAAGGATTGCATCATTTTTCTGGGTCAGACCATTCTTCATCATTTTGATCATGCCTATAGTTATGACATTAGCAGAAAATAATACTACAGTAGTTGGATTTTGTTTTTTGTTTTTTTTTATAATGACTTTTGGTGGAAGACATTTGTATGACTAGATACTGTGTTTTCCATAGTGTGTTTCAACATCACTGCATTTGTTTGCAGTGAACACTAAATATTTCCTCTTTCACATGTTATTTTTTACTGTTGTGTGATGTATATTGATAATGTTGGGATTATTGCTAGTATCTTAAGGGAGGTTTGCTTGTCTTTAGAGCACACTTCCTCAACAGTTGGTTATGTACATTAAAAGTCACCCCGTATTTTCCTAGCAGAAAAAATGCAGTAAAACTGCAGGACAAATGGTGCTTCAGTCTGATGATACAGCAGTGTTTGAGTTTATATATGTGTCTTTCCTCAAATAAAACTGTGAATGTGAACATGTCAAATAAGTAGGAATTTTGCAATATTGATAATGTTGGGATTATTGCTAGTATCTTAAGGGAGGTTTGCTTGTCTTTAGAGCACACTTCCTCAACAGTTGGTTATGTACATTAAAAGTCACCCCGTATTTTCCTAGCAGAAAAAATGCAGTAAAACTGCAGGACAAATGGTGCTTCAGTCTGATGATACAGCAGTGTTTGAGTTTATATATGTGTCTTTCCTCAAATAAAACTGTGAATGTGAACATATCAAATATGTAGGAATTTTGCATTGCTGGGATAGCCTACTATGTGATAAAACGCAAATTACCAGTTGCAAGTAGAATAGACCGACTGAATCAATTGAATTTACATAAGTGTTTATGTGCCACTCAGCAATTCATTCTGTCAGTCCACTTTGTTTATAACCAATCATTAAATTAAAGTCAGGAATACTGGATGGACATTGGATGGCAACCATTTTATTTCCATTTCTAGCAATGTTCCCAGCGTCCTGGAATCTATACTCGAGTTACAATACAGTGAAATAAGGGCATTGTTGAAACTATGTTCCAAAGCCCATATGAGAGGAAAAGATAAGCACAGGAAAAAACTAAAGGCTAACTGAGACACAGCATTTTATTTCCTTTGCTGTTTGTGCTGTTTGCACCATGTAGTGATGAATGAATACAAATCGTACTGGAATTTCTGTTCACACTTCTTCCTAAAAACTCAACATCTGTTTAAGGAATTGTTCAGAAATATGTAATTCAAAGAATTTGGAAAAAAAACATGCTGGATTTTTTGTTGTTGTTTCTCTTTTTAAGTAGATTAGTGCTATCATTCTGAACTTCTGATGTTACGGGAGGTTTGCCCCACTGTTAACCCATTTTGGAAATCAAATGTTTTTCATGACAGTCCTTTCAAATATGGTGAGGAAATTCTTTTAAACACTTTAAAGAATGACCTTCTGTGCCGGATTGTTGTTTTCCTCCGCTTGTAAATAGATTAACATTTGCAGCAGAGGCTCACGTAACTCCTAGTCTAGTG